GGGGGGGAGGGGATATCGTGTATTCCTTGATGATATGAAATGGTATTTATCAGGACCTCTGTCTAGATTTTCTGTCTGTTTTGCAAGTAGCTCGGAGGTTGTAATGTACAGCCTCAGTGACCAAAAGAAGTTTATTGAATGTTGTTGTAAATTGTTTTAGGCTGGGGGGTTCCTTTTTTTTTCCTTCTTTGCATTCATGAAAATTATTAATAAATGGAGAAAAAAAAGTTTCTGTGTCCTGCTTACTGTATGTGATGCGATGCACCATGTGTATGGCTTGATGAATGCTCCGATGTAGTGGGATCCCTCAAATATTTTTCAGAGCCACTGCTGTATGTTTGTGTGTGTATGTTTGTTTGTGTGTGTGTGTGTGTGTGTGCTGGCATACTTGTGTGGGAGACTGTTGTCAAGTTGAGTCCTTATAACAACCCTTGTAACCATTCCTTTCTCAATGAAGGTGTTGTTTTACTGCAAGGCAAACTCAATAATGGCTGCACTGTAAAAAGAGCAATTTACAGTCAATGTAAAATGGAGCTGGAATTGAAAAGAATTAGAAGTAGACCATACCAAAGAACCCATCAACAACCCTCTGAGTCTGAGAGCACAGACAATTTTTAACAATCAGACTGCAAGCACAAGTAATATTACGGGAATGGGTACCTTGTGTTAGAAATTTCAAACACTCTTATTTTGGAAATCAATTTATTTTCTCAAACTCTTCAGGCAAACAGAAACACCAAAATGCACAAGAACTGTTCTCACACTCTCGTAAAAAAAAATTCAAATACTCGTATAAAAAACTAATAAATAAATAATTTGTTTTGACATGTGAAACGAGCTGAGCTAATGCAAAATTACATCATGGAACAAGAATTTTCAAGAGAAATGTGAGATATCCTGTCGTACTCATTCTCCGATCCACAGAATCGGGGGCAGTCATTACAAAGGCGTTCAAAAACAAAGTCAGCCCCTCTGTTAAAATTTACCGCTCAGGCTTCCTCAATAACAAACAGGGTGAGAAAAAAAAGAAACCACAGCAAACACATCTCTGTCAGTATCAAATCGATGAAAAGGGTAAAGTCTTTTTGGCATCAAAGTTGCATTCCATAAAGACTATTGGTGACAACATATTTGAAATCCACAGTAATGGGATGGCTTGCTTATCAGTAGTATTAGTAGTAATGTAAACAACTAACCGAAAACATGAATGAAATTCCTAAAGTCACAATCATGAAAGTAAGAGGACTTCACTGAGCTTTCAAAATTCAAACCTGAAACTCATGAGGTTATAACGGTTCTCATAAGTTGCATGACAATGATTCGCAAATAATGTCTATTTTTCTCCTCAGTTATGCAAAAGGTAGACAAGAGAAGAAAAAAAAATTAATTAAAAGTTTTTCAGGATTGTGGAATCCTAGGAAACAGCATGCAGGTATTAACAGACAAGGACAACATATGTAGTTGTCACTGCTGATTTTGAAAACGTTCCTCACATAGAGACAAATTTCTATCAGACAAAAATGGAACGTTGACAAATGGAGCATGGCAATTCGTAGAGGATGATAAATCTTGAATTCTACATCAGTTCACACATTAGCGCTAGTTGGGATGTCCAGATGCACCCTGAATAGTTGTAAAAGTTTTACACCCTAATCAACACAGTTTAGAAGGTCATTTTTGAGGCAGGTTGCTTTGAACTCACTTGTTAGGGCCGATCAAAGCTGAATGGGATACATACAGCATTCCGGCAGCAGGACGATGACGCAAGATAAAACATGACTTCTCATTTGTCATGCAACTGCAAAGATCCCAATCATTACTCAAATGACGCTGCAGTTGAATGTTAAAAAATAACATCCAGAGTACCGGTACTTTTAAGAAAAAACCCCAAGGAAAAATGAGAATGTCCATCACTTCTGACATGTAGTTGTAGGGTAAGTGGCACATTTGAGTATTGAGTACATCATAAGTAATCAAACTATTCTCTCCCACACAAACAAATCTGTTCCCATGGTTTTATGCACCCCGCATAATTTAGCAAAATTTGACAATTTTTTGCATAATTTTTGATTATTTTCCTTTATCATTCTTTGTTAAAATTAACAGAATAGCATAATTTCACATCTTTGGGCTCAGTTTGCCTCATTTCAAAATTTACACCCTACACTACTACTTGACAGGAAGCCAGTCTATAGTAGTAGGTCCCCATCCACACACACAAACACATTTACAGGTCAACAGCTGAGATCAAGAAACCTGTAAGCCTCAACTGAAAAATAAAGCCCCTGACCTTTCCAGTTATGAGACAACAGTTGTCTTTCCAATAAGTCTTTTTTTTTTTTCTTGTTCGAATCCAACCATAAAAAGACAGAGAAACCGTAAAACAGACCTGCCACTCTATGAAACCTCAAAATCAGGATCTCAGGGAGAAAAAATCGGGATTTGGTGAAAAAAATCGGGAATAACAACAAATCACCAAGGTGACTGCCAATGCTGACTTACTTACAAGTTTTCCAGGGGTGTCCATAAATTACTTGGCCTATGCCCTCTGTGTGTCTTTGTTTGTTTGCGTGCGGGTGTGCGTGTGCGTGTGTGAGTGTGTGTGTGCGCACGCGTGCGGGCGTGCGTGCGAGCGAGTTATCATTATTTTTTGTAAATCCTGAAGCATCGCGTCAAGCACTCCTAGTCCGAGTGTCTATAACCCCCTCCCCCCTACCAATAAGTCCCGAAATACATGAACTTAAGTTGACCCCGTCTACGGACGGTCCCCGACACGCAAAACTCACACGGCGATGTCATGTCACGTGACGCGAATGCGTGATTGACACAATTTTACTAACGGGTCCGACTAACTGCACGTTCACACAAAACACTCGGATGAGCGACAGTCGTTCTACTTCTAGGATAACGACGGCGGCCGACCGACCAAATGTACCAACAAATCTCTTATCCCTCACAATGCGTTCAGACCTAGGTTCAGACTAAAGCAAGAACAACGTCCGTATGTTAGTCTTGTCAGCGCAGTTATATTTAGTTGTGTAAGGGTTAGAACAACTGTCGCTCGTCCGAGTGTTTGATGTGAACGCGCAGTTACCAGACCTCGGACAAGGCTTGTTTTGAAAGTAACAGAGAACTACGAATATTATCGATTATATTTCGTATGTCCCAAATTCTAACAGTTACCAGGCTATCATTGGAGAATTCTGAGTGCGGCAAAGATCACACACAACTTGGGGCGAGTCAACTACTAAATGCGGCATCGATATTTCGGGAAATGGAAGGACTTCCGTAACGAGCGACCACCCCATCAAACACAATAAAGAAGAGGCCTAGACCTAACCCTAACCCTACCCTAACCCTTCCCCTAACACTACCCCCACCCCAAGCCCTCAATTCTGCTCTGTCTCATAGTGGTCGCTCGTTACAGAAGTCCTCCCTGGGAAATGGTGCTCTGAGTTGCTACTGACAAAAAGTTCAACGGATGCTTCCCGCGATAAAGGAGCAGACAGAGTCAGTTTTTAGAAAAAAATCTAGCACAGCAGCAGACTGGGACAAAAATCGGGATACACGCGATCGAAATCGGGAAAATCGGGATGCTTGAGATTTGGGGCAAAAAATCGGGATATCCCGACTAAATCGGGATGAGTGGCAGGTCTGACCGTAAAATTCATATTTGCTTCAGATAAAAGAACAAATAGGCCTAATGGTTTTGTTTTTTTTTACATTTGGTAAAGACCTGATTTTTGTGGCTCAAGATGCAAGTGTCTAAACTGTCTAGAAAAGACCTAGATTCTTGGTGGAGACCAAACCCCCCCCCGTTAAAATTTGGAAATCTTTTTCCTCAAAGATAGACCCAAAGGCAGATTTAACCAAATCCCAAATTAACACATTACGTTTTCATTATACAATCAGCAGCCAAATCACTATGCTGTGGCATTGAGGCCACTATACAAGAGTAACAGTCTAAGCTGTAAAGAATTTTTTAAAAATTAACAAATTGATGACATAAAAAAAGAAAAAGTCTGGAGCAAGGATTCACCAAAAAACCCCACCCCAAAACAAACAGAACCCACCAGCAGTCATAGCAAAATACCAGTAATGGAAATTGAAACAGAGATATTATATATATAGATACAAGTATACATAATATTCAGTTCTGAAAATGACAAAACAAATAAAGCACAACAAAACCTGATTGAAGCAATGCTTGAGTGAATGTGTGAAAGCAGGCGG